TTCTTTGTCTTCATTGGAGTAGAACTTGAGCACCGTGTGTCTGGGTGAAGATCTCTTTGGATCATGTCTGTTGGGAGTTCTCTGTCCATCCTGTATGCGGGGTGGATTCGTGTTCCAAGTGTTTTGGAAGTTTTCCTGTATAATTTCATCGAGCACTGCTTGCATCCCAGATTCTCTTTCTACTCCCTCGGGGAGGTCGATGATCCGAATATTCAATTTTCTAAGGTAATCCTTCATCTCTTGCATCATTTTATTAGTTTTGCTGAGGTTTGTCTCCAGCTGTTTAATTCGCTGGGCACTTTCATTTTGTGTGTCTTCTGTTTCAGAGATCCTTTCCTCTGCCGCATTTATTCTGTTGATGAGGCTTTCAATCTTATTATCTTGGGCATCCAGTTTGGTTTTGATTTGTTGTATTTCGGTGATTATGCGGTTCTGGAGGTCTTCCAGCTTTGTGTCCACGTCTCTGAGAGATTTTAGCATTATTTTCATCAATTCCTTTGTTGGTAACACTTCCATGTCTTCATCTCGTATCGTCGATATTGATAATGGCTTTTGGCCCTTGTTTGGTGGGGTGCTGGCTCTTTCATCTGGAGCACAACTCTTTCTGGTGGTTTTTCCCATTGCGTTGGTGTATTCTGGTGAGGCAAATGGACCCGTGTGTTGAGGGGCTGTCAGGTGCTTTCCTGTAGAGATTGGAGCCTGTAGGCGTGGTGTTGCCGGGCGTGGTAATTTTCAAGGCACCGTTGGTGCGTTCTCAGGGCCCGGGGCTGTAGAGCACCACCTTGGGGGCCCAGTGGATTCCAGGCACACTCTGGGCACCTCTTCTACAGGTGTGACACCCCAGGGCGTGGCGGGATGGAGGCGCTCTCTGGGTGTGCTCCCTTCACGGGAATCCGCAGGGCGTAGAAGGTTTTATGTGCTTTCTCCCTGCGTTCTCCGTGTCAGGGACTGCAGGGTTTTTCAGAGCCCACCTGGTGCGTCTCCCACACACGGGACTGTGGGTGAGGCACTTTCCAGGCGTGGCTCTTATGCAGTGAATCCACCACTCGTGGTGTGTGGGTGTTCAGAGCCCCTGCTCCCGTGTGGCTCCCCCACACAGGCCCTTAGCGGAGGAGTGGCCCAGGCGCCCTGTTATAATGACTTCACGGCGGCAGGTTCGCACCGTGTCAGTTTGGTGCAGGAGTTCTCCTGACACCTGACACCTGCGCTACGGAGGTGCTGCTGCTGCAGGCGGGGCGCCCAGCCCGCTCGGTGCGGCGTTCAGAGTCCTGGTGGTTTCAAGCACTCACCAGGCAGGATGTGGGGGACTCCAGACCCTCGCCAGCTACCTCTGCGCACCGAGCCGCACTGGTCCCCTCAGCGCAGGAACATCCGATGCGCCTTCCCGGGGCCCCCTCAGCCACCAACACAACACCACTGTGCGTAGTTCCACACAGACCCAACAGTTTCGGCCGTCTGCTCCGCGTTCTGAGGCTGGAGCCTCAGCAGGGGGCAAGAAATGCGGAGGCTGCCACGTCAACCCCCAGCTCACCAAACGTCCGGCCGCTGCAGTCTGCCTCCACCGCTGCCGAAGGCCTCCCGCCGGTGACGATCCCCCTGATCTCCCCGCCTCCGAGCTGGCCGCGTCTCCCGTCAGGCCGTTTTCAAAAGTGACTCAGCAGGTCTGGAGTGGGATGTCGGTTTCTCTGCCTTTGCCCTGCTCCGTTCTCGTTGTTCTTCCGAGTTGTGTGGATCTTTTTGGCTCCACACTGTCCCAGGGAGCTTCATGGACCTCTCCCTGCGGTTCCCTGCTGTTCCTCTTTGCTGCTTCTGTAGCGTTCTATCCCTCTCTCACTAGACGCTCCCTCACAGCCTTCCTCCTACATCGGCCATCTTCGCTCTCCTCCTGTTCGGAGTTTTTAATTCAGTTACTCTGGGGTGGAACCTGGGGTTCCACTTCTAGTAATTTCTCAGGTGTTTCTGATGCTACTGTCCCAGGGATACTCGTTGAAAATCTCTGCTCCCAAAAGAATAATATGTTCTCTCTGATATAGGCAACCTTCATGCAAAATACAAGAGGAAGAGATATATAGGTAGACACGTAGATACATATGTGTATCTAGAGGAACTGTGTAATGTTGGTCAGTGTACCGTGAAGTGGAGATACAGCGCAGGGTGCATCTCTACTTCGGAATAAAAGATGGACTCCCAATGAACTGTTAAGTATATATCTTTTTTTTGGTAAAGATTTGCTTTATTTCTATTGGAAAGGCGGATCTGGAGAGAGAAGGAGAGACAGAGAAAGGTCTTCCATTCACTGGTTCACTCCCCAAATAGCTGCAATGGCCAAAGCTGAGCCAATCTGAAGCCAGGAGCCAAGAGCTTCTTCCACATCTCCCACATGGATGCAGGGTCCCAAGACTTTAGGCCTGTCCTCCACTGCTTTCCCAGGCTACAAGCAGGGAGCTGGATGGGAAGTAGAGCAGCCAGGATACGAACCTGTGCCCCTGTGGAATTCCAGTGTGTGCAAGGCGAGGATTCTGTGACTAGGCGACTATGTTGGGCCCTGAGTGTATCTTGACAATATGATGCCGGATTTTCTACCATTGTCTGTACTTATAATGTCCTGATATACTTAGATAGAAGATTAATGGACTTGTGACTGTTGAAGAACTGGAACCATTGTTATAGGGGAGAACAGTGAGGGGTGGTAGAATGGAGGGAGAAAGTGGAAGAGGAACTCCCTGAGCTTAAGGAATTGTGTCATGAAAAAAAAAAATTAAAGGAAAAGAAAACCGCTGCTCTCAGAGAGGCTAGCCTTCTCGTTAGTGATGCAGCAAAAGCTTGGTTGATAATAACTGTCTCACAAACTCTTTGTGTTTCATTGCTATTTTTCAATACTTGTGAGCAAGACACATTCCAGATCAATTTATCTATTAGAGGAATCTAGCATAGGTTATCACTGTAAGATAAATAGTAATCTGTTTAAAACAGAATATTGAACTTCAAACTGTATTTTGCAGCAGTTCTGTGACTTTATATTCAGTGTGCCCTTTGCTTTTGAAAGTGATCTGCAATGCCTGTATTTGGCACAAGGTGGCGGCAAAAGGCTGAAGATTTTGACGAAAATTTGATTTTTTGGAGACATATATCTGTTTTTTAATGTATGTTCAAACCAATCCTAGTATAAGAGATTTGAACTATGAGGTATTTTTTAAATGCATGAGATACTAGTATTTTTACTTTAAAGTATTTTCATATTTACTTTTAAGAACATATGAGGGCACTTTAAGAAGTTCCTGGAAAATAAAATTCATACAAGCTTTTCTTTGATGCAAAGGAGCTTGGATTCCGTAAACAGTTTTTCATTATACCAATTTTGTGAGCTTTGTAAAGATCTCTCTGTTGATGTTATTAATGACTAATTCTTTAGGAAACTGATGAAAATCTTATTGAGATTGCATTTTCTACAAAAGAATCTCAGGTGACTTCAACTTAGCAAGTGTACAGGGGTGGGGAACATTTTTTCTGCCAAGGACTATATGGATAATTTCAGCAACACTTGGACTATATAAAATTAGCAACATAAATACCGACTTATTGCAGATGCATTTTCAATCCTGCATCTGTTTGTCTTGGCAGGGCTTGAATGCATTCTTGAGTTGTATAAGGCCGCCAGACCAAACATTCCACATACTTGCTAGAAAAAATATCTTACTGTTGTTTAATCATAAGGCCCCATGTAAGTAGAATATTTAGTTCTTGCCCCCAGGAAACTTAAAATTTAGTTGGAGGAAAAAAGAAATGTATATACAATTTAATGAGAAAACAAGACGATTAAAATGAACAAGTATATAGTTGAATGTACAAACAAGACAGATATTGTTAACTGAACCAAGGGGCAATTAAGCAAAAAAAAAAAACCACAATATTTGAAAAATCTTTCATTGTAATTATTTATGTTGTTATAATTCCTTTTAGATACTTGAAAAAAGTGACACTTTAAGAGCTTTGTATGATCCCGTTTTTGACATAAGTAACACATCATCAATTACTTGCAGAGACTCATCTTTTTTCATGATCATGTATTTTTAGTTTTATTGATACATGGGAAACATTTTTTTTCTTAAGAGGGCAAGGATTTTAGGGTTCACACAAATATTAATTATAATGTTCTTAGATTTCTTGAATCTGAAAAACACATTTATTCAAAAAGCAGTTGTTGACTGGCTGCTCCAGGGAAGTGGCGGGGAGGAGATTGGGAAAATGCTGTTTAAAGGGCTAAAGTGGGCAGATATACACAGAGAAAGAAAATGTAGAGAGATCCTCCATCTGCTGGCTCGCTCCCCTGATGCCCATAACAGCCAGATTCAGAGCTGTACCCATCTGAAGCCTGGAGCCAGGAGCTACTTCAGGGTTTTCCATGTGGGCACAAGGTCCCAAGGACTTGGGCTATCCTCTGCTGCTTTCCCAGGCCATAAGCAGAGAGCTGTATTGGAAATGGAGCCACTGGGCCAAGAAACTGTGCCTCTATGGGATACTGCTGCCACAGGGTGGAGAATTAGCCTTTAAGCCATGGCGTTGGACCATCTTATTTTATTATTAAGGAAACTAACTTCTATTTTAAGTGTAAATGTTCAAAACCTTCTTGAAAGTTGAAAAGTTTTTAATTTTGGAGTTGGTGTTTAAACCCAACTGTTAAACTTCAAAATGCATTTTCTGTGTACAACAGCACGCCTATAATTTATACAAAATAATTAAATGCAATGAACAACTAGCAATTTGGCACTCTAGTTTGGTCTTTCTAGTGTCAGTAAATGTTGTCTATTTCATTGTAATTATTCTGACAAAATGAAAAGAAAGGATAAATTATTTAATTGGTGGTGGCAGTTCATCTGGGTTGCACTTTAATTTCAGAGAGCTAATCATGCAATTTTTTGTTGGCCTGAATTGTCTTCTCTGTGTTTTGTTTTTTAACTCTCAGGAACAACTAATTTCTTCCCTTGTGTCTTTTTGCACAGGTCATGTGGGTATGTAATTTGTGCCGAAAACAACAAGAAATCCTCACTAAATCAGGAGCGTGGTTTTATAACAGTGGGTCCAATACAGCACAGCAAGCTGAGCAAAAGGCTCTTCGAGGATCGCGAAGTGAGGAGGCGCCTCGGGAGAAGAAAGCAAAGCTGCATGAGCAGGCCCAGTTCCAAGGACCCCCAGGTGACTTATCTGTACCTGCAGTGGAGAAAAGTCGATCTCATGGGCTCACAAGACAGGATTCTATTAAAAATGGGTCAGGAGTGAAGCACCAAATTGCCAGTGACATAGCTGCAGACAGGTAAACATTTTGTTTAATCTTTAGGTAAACGTATTATTTTTCCTCTTCATTCCAAGCAGAAATAAAAATACATGCAATGCTTAGGAAAACTTAAGTTGCGTAAATGTAATCTAAGTGTCCATGTGTTTATGTAAGTGGTCAATGTGTTCTCCACGCCTTGGGTCATCATAGGGTTGGATCGCCATAAATTTGATGTGGGAATGTTAGGTTTTCGGAGTTCCTAAAATACATAGGTTAAATAAAACAGAGAACTTAGGGGATTGTTGTTCTAGGAAAAACAAACTGGTGTAAGAGAACGAGGAATGAAGTGGTGGTTGGTGACACGTCGGAGGCCGGATGGATGGATGGGATTAGCTGGACGTGGGATTTAAGAGAATGGGGGAGTGATGACGTCTCCAAATGTCCTATCCTGGGCTGCAGGGTGAGGTGATTTTCAAGAGCAAGTAAATGCATATCAGACAGCAGGCATACGGTGAAAGAGTTTGTGAGTTTGGCACATTTATTGTGTTGTATACAATTCTGTTGTAGCTATTTTGTTGTAGCTAGTTCTAGGTTCTCCACATTCCATGTGTTACATATTTAAAAAATAATATTTGGTTTCCCTGTGTTTTCTACTGCTGTCAGGAGAGAAGAAATATTTTTTATGGTATTGTTATTTTTCTAGGTGTCATTCTTTTGTTTGAGTGGAAAAAATTTTTTTAAACCTCTGATTTATGCCTTTTTTATTGCCTAACACTGGCTGGCAGATACAATTCTTTGTGAATATGCATGGTCAAGCATTGTGGAAAGTCAGGCAAAACAAATTTAAATTGCACTTATGGCATAGTGAGTTCTGAGGGATCAATAATAACATGATAAGGCAGAACTACATTAGATAAGGCACACAGCCATCACCCTTTGTCACTGCCTTAGGGGAATAAGATGATGGGTACATCAATTCTTTCTAAAACTAGTAAAAACAGAGCAGACCATTAACCGTATCTTTCAGGGGAGTGGTAGTGATTTCATGGCTACAATACTGTGGACATATTTCAGAGCAAAGTATTAGAATTCCAAGAATTTTAAGGTAAGAAGATCATCTTGGGTTACTAGATGAGCAATCCCAGGTACTACCTGTAGGGGGAGCCGAAGATGATTAGGTTAAAGGAAAGAAATAATGGGTTCATTAAGAATTGGATCTTTCTGGCAATTGTTCCAATTTTATGGAGACGTCTGAGACATACAATGGTTGCCTTTACCCTCGCATTAAGAGTTCAGAATGGAGGAGACCTATTAGGATGACGTGGTGGACTCACACCCTTTCCTGAGAAGGGAAGTCCACAACCCCCAGGAGCCTACGTGGTGGTATACATTCTTAGAGTCAGAAGGCGCTGCTACTGAGGGAATGGCAAACGATGAGGCAATGTGCAAGGGACCCTGGTGGTACCCACTACGGGAAAGTCAAGGTGTGTGAAAAAAAGCAGAAGTATAGTGACCAGAGCAGATATAATTTTTAATAAGTGAATGAATTCCTACAATGATTGATGGGAACATAGAATTTGTTCCTTGAAACTATGTAGCTTCATGAAATGATAGCTTTCTTTGGAGATTAGAGAAGCAGGTTTAGAAAGAATAAAAGAAGATGTTGAAACATTAAGTCACAGATGTTGTTTATCAGAAAGTTGTGCATGTTAAAAAGTCAATACTGAAAGTTTGTGAATAATCAATTCATTGTTAAGAAGCTAGAAGTATATGTCCAACCTTTGAAGGAAGGGATAATGACAAGCACATAACTTTTAATATAGCTGTTAGTGCGTCTTACTGACAAAATATTAGCCTGAGTGAACAGCGGGGTCTGACCTAACAGTGGGGCCTGAGCATGTAGTAGTCCCTTGTTAAAATCTTTTTCTTTGCTTGGTGTTTTTGGCTATTGTTACTTATGAATACATGGTCTATGAACTTAAAGTATCCTATAATCATATTCTTCCTTTTTGAGCCTCACAAAAGTCAAACCAATAGCTCCTTTGTTTTTTAAAAATTACTTTTAGTCAGCAGGAAATTAGAGTTTAAAATCTGACTTGGTAGATATGCATAGAAAATTGAATTGCTTCTAATATTATATATATAATTGGCAAGTATTTTCAAGAAAATTAAATTGCCTTTGCAGGAGCAAGGAAAAAACTTGCTTTATTATTTTTAAATGTAGGTTCCAGTAATTTAAAAAATAGACCTTTTCACCCCATAGAAAGTGATTGGCCGACCATGGTCCTGGACTGATTTTGGCTTACATAGAAATGAAATTTTATTGGAACCCAGTCAGCCTTATTTCTTACCTATGACCGTTTGCAGCTGTAGTTGTGTAGTTAAGTTAGCAGAGAGACCACGTGGGCCTTCAAGACCCAGATATCTGCACTATGAAACATTTGCCAATCCTTGACATGGGCAAGGTCAGCTCTCCCGGTGCTGTTGAAAATGTTCACGTCTTTGCTGTCTTCTTTTGTCACCATTCAAATAATTTCAGTTGGGCACATTTCTGCCTCATCCCCACTTTCTCACCCTCTCTTGGCCTTTGTCCTTCTCTTTGTTTTCTCTCTGTCTCTCCCTTTTTTCCTGCCACTCTGCACCTTGCCAACCCCACTGCTCTTCTTACCAGATGTGTCACTGAGATGGGGCTCATGACAAGGTGTATAATTCTAGTTTAAAGTGTGAGTAGCTCATTTCTTCATGGCCACTCAGAAACTGGTGGCCTCAAAACAGAAGCTTCAGTTTAAGTCTCTTGTACCTAGAACTGTGTTTGAGAAATAGAAAAATGTGTGACGTCTTCCGTCTTTGCGGAAGTTTCTTCTAGAGTCACATGCTTCTCAGGGCTTTGCAGAGCGGCTCTGAGGCTTTGTTGAATGAAAGAATACCGAGTTGGCCTTCAACCTTAGCTTACCATAAATTATTATTAGCATATTTATTCATAAAATCACAAATGTTTGTTTGCTTAGATGTAATATATTGTCGGGACTTTACATGCTTTTGTTTGAAAATAAGGTTTGAGACGTGCTTTATCATCTGTTTTTGGTTGAGACCGTGCTTTGGATGACATAAATTGCAAGACTCGCCTCAGAAGCGCCCCCTGTGTCTACCAAGGGAAGTGCATCTGCAGTTACGAACCTTTTACAAGTACATCTGCTGACCCAGAAGGCATCGCTGGTGTAGTGTAACAACCTTTCAAGAAAGATAGGATGCAGTAGCTGCACAAACTCACAGTATTAAACAGGAGAGAGTGTTTTTGAACTTTTCCCCCTTGTCAGCATTATTCTGATACCAAAACCAAAGTTATTGTAAGTAATTGAAAAAATAAAACAAAACAAATAAAAAATGGGTAAATAATTAGCAGCTAAACATTTCTCATAAGAATAGATACAGATATTCTAAAATAGTTTAGGAAGTAGAATTCATCAGTGTGTGAAAGGGGTACATCATGGCTAAGTTCTCATCAACAAGGTTGTTGTATGAATGTAGAGTGAACTTGACATTTAGAAATCATGGCAGTTTACTACATCTGAAAAAAAAAGCTCCAAATCATAATATCACTGTAATAACCACAATATGATAGTTATAGAAACAAGCGTTTGATGAAATTTTACTTCTCTTTAAAAATATTTATTTACTTTTTTAAAGGCAGAGGTGTGAGTGGAGTGAGAGAGAAGGAGAGATAATGTGAATATTCTATACGTTTATACTCCCCACATGCCTGTAACAGTCAGGGCTGTAAAGGCAGAACCCAGGAGCCCAGAACTCAGAGTCTCCTACATAGGATTCATTTTCTTACTAATGAGATGCATGTATGCACATGTATTAAGTTTAAATAATATTTGTATCATATGTAAATAACATAACCTATACTTTACAGATAAACAGTATTATACATTACACATTATATATCATTTATAAGTACTATGATATATGCATATATAGATGAATATATCATTTGTATAACATAATCATATATCATATATTTTTATATATATGTTAGATTTTTTGTTAATTACTTTCTTTGATATATTTCTGGTCAAATCCTGTTTTGGGATCATTTTTAAAAAAGTTGTTTTCATGAAGATTCAAAACCCCTCAGTTAGTTCTTCTAATACTCTTAAAATGTTTTTATTCATACGTTATAAAACTTTGATCTAGCTTAAGTTTATTACAGTATACATTTGGTAACAAATGGACCTTAACTTTCTTTACAGAATTCCTACTTGTCTCCCACACTGAGTATTTTCAATCAATAAATATTAATCATGTTTATCACAAATTGAAATATTAGTGTGTTTAGAGATGCCCTATTTTGTTGCTTTGTCTAGTCTCTTCAAAGAAAAAATAAAAAATGCATAAAAAAGTTACATTTTACTGAAGCATTTTAGATTACTGATTTTGAAGACAAGAAAGTCAAAACATTAGTTTTAGTATTGCATTTAAATTAATAGATATAAAGCTAGTATTATGAAGCAGTGAGTCAATTATGAGGAAAACCGAAGGTTCCTGGGTGCATGGAAAGGCAGTTTTCGGTTTATATAGTTTGCTAAAGCAGAAAATGAGAAGACTTTCCCTTTTATATGTTGTTGGAAATGGCATTGTAAGCCAGTGACGGGTTGTTTCAGCTTTTGAGTGATTCGGAATAAGCTTTTTCAAAAGGACTCTTGATAGTTCTCCCTCCGTTCCTGTATCACCCACTCTCCATCTCCCATTCCTCCCACCAGGCTGCAACCACTGCCAAGAGAAAACTCAGCTTGAAGAAGCCATAGAGAACAATGCCCCTTTCCTTTATATATAACAAAAGGGAGGAATGTAAGGAGTTATTCAAATATCCCACCCTGGACCCAGCGCCATTTCCTCTTCCTCACAGCTCATGAAATTCACACCAGTCCAGCCATCCACCAATCAGGCATTTCACCTGAGAATCCCACCCCCAATCTCCCAGCCCCTTCCCCAACTCCACCCACTTACCAATCATCCTTAGGCAATCACCTGTG